TTTTTTTTTTCGGGTTTTTTTCTCAATGGTTGATGAACGTTCTTTGTCGTTTATGCGTGTCCGTTGACGGTTAATTGTAATCCTCGTTATAACGGTACGGGGCACTTCTTTGAACTTCTGACTGGAATCATTAGAAATAAAGTTGTTGTTTTCCAGGGTATGCGGAATTGGAGGCCGTCTTAATACTCACTTTTATTTTACTAATAAACTCGAATTACATATTTTACTAACACCCTACTAAACTTGGCTTATACATGCCACTGATGCCATTATGGTAAGGAGAAATTGCAATTTAAAATTTTTGCAATTTTTGGCCTCTCTTAATAAAAGAAGATTTTATTTGTTGAAGTTATAATGGTGCAAGATTTTATGACTGTTGGCTGGAATAACTGAATATGGTTAATCTCCATTAATAAATGCGCTAAAGAAAGATTGTCAGATATTTTGAGAGTTTTTTCTTGCTTTCTTTTTCTTTTTGCTTCGCTTTTTATTGTATCATTGATGGTATTTTTAATGGTGAAGCTTCTTCGAGTTTACTGGGTGGTTTTTAGATTATAAATGGGAAATTTGAAAAAAAATATGTTCTAAATATGCTTCCACTTTTAATTTTCAATTTTTTGCAAGTATTTTGTTACTGTCTGGTTTTACAGATTCATTTCATTGTGCTATACAAGAATTTATTTGAACCTTCCATTAGACTTAATTTTTACCTACTTCTTTTAGAGTTTTGCGCACAGAAACGAACGAGTGCGTAGAACTAAATCCGAGGAAGTTCTGCTGACAGACAGCTTAAATGATGCAAATGTGCGTATGCTGTGGCTTGAACACGCAATTGCCAGTGGCCTTCCAAACTCTTATATTGGTAGCTCAAACGACTCAGATGCTGTAAAAATTTTGAATCACGGAGTAAAAAATACGTATTTGCTGGAAAACAGCCTAGATGAAAGTGATAATGATGAAGAAAACTGTGATTGTTCTTGGGTTTTTATGCCACCGGAATACAGGTATTTTTTCAGTTGCTTTGAAGTGTTCGGCAATTAGCGTTAGCTTGTGTAACTTAGCAAGGAAATGGGTTCTGTATGGTATGATATTATTTTGAACTTGTAAGTAACTGCTCTTTGTTCAAATATTATTGTGAGAAATGTAGAAAGTTGACTAAAACTTTTATAATTTTTTGCTGTGCCGTGACTTGGAATTCTTTCTGCTAAGTTAGCCCGTATCATTGTTTTCTTCTGATGTTAAACATTGATCTTTTTGATGATACTAGTTTAACTTGGGTTGTACACTGAACGCGTGTTCTCAGAGCTGAAAGAGATGAAAATTTTTTAAGTACTGAACAGAATTCATAAGGTTTTTGTTGGTAGGAACGAGTGAAATTTTGAGCTTATTCTCAAAATTTTTAGTCCGGCTATACTCAGTATTTTTGTCTACATTTTTTGTGGGCCTTCTTTGTATTAGTTTGTAACGGAGCAGGAAGTTGCATTTTGCTTTATTGAAGGTAGATTAGCCGGGAAAAAAGAATGTTCATTTAATTTCTGTTCATTTTGAAGATTATTTTTCAGTTTTAATTACTGATTACAGTTTCGTTGTCGGGTTATGGAGATGCAGTCTGTGGGTTCCAAGCTTAGTATAAAATAATTAGTATACCACGAAAAAAAGCTCTCATACTTCTCTTGCCTGCTTTTACTCTTCCGCTTAATCATTTATTGTATAGATATAATTGCCAGTGCTAGATTCTGCAATATTTATTGGATGATTCACTGTAAACACCGAAAGGTCGTTGACAAAATCCTTAATATTATGCTAATCAGCGTAAGAATCGAGGCTGGTACAGTGTGCTGAACAGAAGATACCAAGGTTCAGATATCGAGGTATTTTGCTGGTACTGTAAAGGAGGTGCGGGGCTGGTTCCTTACACTTTCAAATACCTGCTGTTTTCTGCAGTAATATCTCACGTTATTCTCTCCTAGCGATTAAATCTTTATTGATTTCGACATGGTCTGCAAATCATTTAGTTTGCATAAGGATTTTTAAGAAATGTTCTCGACTTAGATTGCTGAAGAGATTATTCAATAGTCAACGCTTTCTGTCTTTTAGTAGATTCAGTCTTTTTCTTTAATTAATCATTGCGCTGTTATATGTACGCTATCTTTTCATTGACAAAAAATATGACAGCTTGAATGCTTTCTACAAGCATGACTGTAATTTCTTGACGAAAGTTCCTACTGCCTAGCCGCATTCATTGTTACAGTTCCATTTGCGCTAGTAGAAAAGTAGTTATTTTTTCAAACGCTTATCTGCGTTACTTACTACACGGGAAAAGCTAGTCCATTCATAGTGTGAATTCGTCTCGCGACGTTTTTCTTTTTTATTTAGGGAAGTGTAGAATGATTTGGGAGTTTCTTCGGTTGCTGCAATTCATATTGAGCTGAAACGGAGGCGGAACCTGAAAAGGAAAGTGGAAATAAAGAGTAGTTTAACTAAAAAAGCCGTAGATATTATGTCAGAAAAATTTGGTGTTTTCCATTTTTCTTTTGCAGTTCTTAAGTGGTGCTCAATTTACATTTATGACTTTTAGGAACTGCATATTAACTTTTGTCGTAGGAGCAGTTTTGCCAACGTAGGGTAGAGTGAGTCCTACTCCACCCGTCGCTGAGGCTTGTCGTGTGTGCGCCCATTGATTAAACTAGTAGCCGAACTTTTTCATTGAGATTCACAGCTAAATAATATTTTTTTTTAGTTGTTGGCGCGTATTCTTTTGCTCGAAACTGGGACGCTTAATGTTGTTTGCAGTTACACTCTTGACTGTTTACTTAATATATTCTCGTTAGTACTGACGAAATAATTTTTATTTCCAAATTTTCGTAGTTTCATTTCTAATGCTGTAATCACTTCTAATTTTATTCTAGAATTAGGATCAAAACTGTTAACTTTTTGAAAGCGAACCTCTTTATTTGTGTTTTTTTCACACGCAGGAGCATTTTGTTGCTTTTCTTTCCTCTCCCCGTTCTTAATTTGTTTTTTTCTTTCCTTTTCAGACTGGCTGGACGTTGGAGGGCTTGAGAGGACTGTTGAAGAAGCTCATTCTCAATCACGCGTAAATCTTTCTATGTGAGTGTTATTCACCGTACTTGCCCTTCTTTTTTTCTCTGTCTTTTTCTAGATTGTGGTTTTAGCTTTGAAGGAACTAGAAATTATGCGAAAAAATATGGTATATTGAGACCCTGACGACAGAATTGAAACATGCTTATATCACCATAACACTGAGACAAACATTCAAATTCACTTTATTTTAGGCCTAACGGTATTTTAATAGATCTTTGCAAAGCTTTCGAGCAGGAGCAAGTCAGTGGAGACATTTGTAATAGACTGTGTTATACGAGGTCGTGGAACGTTGTTGATTTTTACCAGGGCAATAAAGTCGTCATTACGCTAAAGAGAGGCGGTCAAGAAGTTGTGTTGAAAAGTATACATCCATTCATAAAACAGTTTGAGGAAATCAGTATGCGCGTCAAAGAAGAAACTTTTACTGATGCGGTAAGTTGTTTTTTACTGCTCTCTCTCTTCCTCCCTCTTACTCACTTGCTTACACTCTTCCTCTCGTTTTCTCCTCTACGTGAATTATTTTGGTTGCGCTCTTCCTCCGAGGGAACTGAAGCAGTGAATTAAAAAGGGGTTATGTATTGACCCCTCGTAGCTCAACTTTTATGAATTTGCCTCACAAGTGTTGTGAGACAAAAGTAATATTAATATTCGGTTTATGCCAGAACTTTCTCTCTATAATTCGTTCAGGAATTGAGATTCATAAGCCTGTTTCACTATCCAGGTGTCCTTGGGTCAATTCTTTCGATATAAACATTTCAAAGATTTTGCTGGTTGCTTAAAGTTAGTTGATCAGTATTTCTTTCTAATTCTTTTATTTTGAAAATGTCCCGAAGAATTGACTGAGTTTAGGACCACACGAAAGTGCGTGTTTTGCAAATTTCGAACTAGAGTTTTATTTATCTTTGTGCATAAACAAAAACTTTAAGTTCTTAGAAGAAGATATTGTGTACAAGACTTCAAATTTTAAAAAAACAAGAAAAGTTTTAGGATGCGTGTGTTCTTGGATCGAGACCTAAAATCATTTCAAATGAAAAGGGAAATAGGCGAAATAAGCATATTTTGTAGTCCACCTTATTAGAAGCTATTAGCTCAATTTTTTTCTCGAAATGAAATGATATAATGAAGTTTAAGCACCAGTTTTGCTTGCTAAAAGCTGGTCAAATCGCAGAATATGTTTAAAACGTACAGTAGTTACGATTATTTAGTCAACATCCTTTCGCCTGAACTACAGTAATTCTCATTTTGGAATTCACAAATGGTGTATTTCTTCTTATTCTGCAGAACAAAAAATTTTCTGTGGAGTTTTTAATTTTTAAGGAATTTGGGAAAATTTTTTGCAGAGTATGAGCTTTTGTTGAGACGTTTAAGTGGCCAGCTCACACAGTGAAATCACGGGGCTTGGAAGAAGTTTTAGTTGCGTAGAGGACAGAAAACTTGTTGACTTTGGCGGGTTATAATTTGACAAGGTCTCTTCTCTAGATTTTTTCTTCTGTTTTCAGGATTGAACGCAGAGTCTACTAAGTAGTAGATAGAAAAAACTAATGTTAGCTGAGAAAGGTATGAAGTTTGGCTTGCAATAGCTTCTTTACTTTGAATGAATAGCTTGTATAATGACGGATTATGCTGACTCGACTAAAAATACCAATGGAGCATAACTTGGTGTTATGGTCCTTTCTCAAATTAGGAGTGATTAGGTTATGGTTTCATGGTCGAGGAATTACTAACTGAGTAATTTTTTAGAGTTATTGTGTCTTTGAGCACGATGGAGTTTCATTTCTTAAACTTCTCTTCTTTATGACTTTTAATTGTAGGTATTAGATTTAATCAATGAGAATCTACATTTGGGTTGGCCAAAAACCTTTAAACGACATTTGATTGAAATGTTGTGGCCAGCTTACCTTCGCAGTTCACACAAGCCTCTTACGGAAGCGGACAGACGTAGTTTATGGGCTTTAATTGCGCAGGATGAATTTATTGTTTTCCGGCTCCTAACGATTAGTCGCGTAACGCCACGGGTAATTTTAATTTTTTCTATTGGACATCGTGGGGCATAAAACGTAAGATTGAGAAGGTCAAGTAAATGTTCTCGTTGAGCTCTTGGTATCTATTAATTTTTTTAGAAGAAAACAGCTGAAATAAATATAGGAAAAGAAAAAATGTTTGGTTACTGCTCACCAAAGTTATTTTATTGATATCAACAACTCCATTAATTGAATTGTTGGTCAGCTTATGTCCTGAGTTGATGTCGCTAAAACTAAAAAAGTTTTGGAAAAATTCGGCTCGATTTCTGCTCACTCTTAAAGAGGAAATTCATTACGGTTCGTTTTTCTCTCTGCGAAGGTGTTTTTTGGCTGAGACTTTTCACAAAGACTCCCTCTCTTCGATATTGTTATATTAGTAAATAGCTCTATTTTCTTATTTGCTACTGATCCAGAGATAGTACTTTAATCTCAATTTGTCTCTAGAAAGATGCTTTCAAAATTTCTTCAGAAACTTTATCACGTTACGACTTAAATGTGGCAGTTGTTTTCAGAATTATGGTCTCATTTGGGATTTTGAAAAACTGGCCATTTTGTTTTCAGTGGGGGTAATTTTTTAGCTATAGCGAGAGATTGGTTTTGGAATTTTTTAATCTTTCCGATTTTTGGCTTGTCGTTTTTCTGTTCAAACAGTGGCAGTTTCCTTTGTCTTTCTTTCTGCACAAGAACTTTGTACCTTGCTACATTCGAAAAAATCTGAAAGGAATTAATTTTTATAGCGGCTCTAAGAACACTAGGCCTGAAAGTTCTTCAGTTTTAAAGTCAAATAAGGCACACAGAAATTCTTGAAGAAATAATGTTTCTAATTATTAGGAAGGCCAGAGTGGCTTTTTTTTTTCAGAAGATTTTTCACTTTTATTTGCAGATTGTGGGTACCTGTGGACATTTCTATCAAGTGGAACACTTGGTTCCTTTTAGGATGAAAGGCTACTACAAAAAGTTAAAAACAAAGATTTTAATACATTTAATGGGCACATTAAAACTTTTTGAAGAGTTTCTAAATGATCCTTTGCAATGGTGCGACGTCAAATTTGATAATCTTGGTCTTGCTGCTGACTACCCAAAAAGGTTTGAATAATGAAAAATTGTGTTAAAAAATATACATGACTTCCGTTCTAACCTGTCTTAGCGAAGCTTTTCATTTACTACTTCTGTAATGGCAATTCTGTCCCAGGTTTATGGTGATGGATGCCGATATGCTTTACACTACTTCGAGATTAAATGATATTCTGAAAAAAAGAGCTTGTAGAACTGATGATGACTGCCAGTTTTTTGATTGCATTTCTTCATGCGATAACTCAACTAATCATTGTAAAGTTCGAGCAAACAATAATCTTCAGGTTTGTTCAGTTAAAGCGGATAAAACTTAAGTTTTGAAATTTTGTCTTGTATGTTTATCGAAATTACTCCCCCTCACTTTATTTTTGATTTTTCTTTTCTTGAAGGTTTTTTGTGAGAAACTTATTTCTCCTATGTTTGATAAACATTCGACGTTTAAAAACCGGTACCTGATGGCCTGTGATGAAGAGGACGTCTCAATGGAGGATCGCATGAATAGCTTGAGGTTAGCGTGGGCGTGGAATCTTCCTGACGTGTAGTAGTTCAGCTTTTTTGTATGTTCTCGTGTTACAGTAATTCCGAACCCTGTTCCAAATAATCTCTTCGGTCTTTCCTTGTTTCGCTTCTCCTAAAAAATATGTAAGTTCTAACTCTTAAAATTTGTTACGTTTTTGTGTTGCCCTGTGGGTTCATTATCGTTTTAAAGCAAAGTCACGTCTAGTATGTCTGTTGTGAGTAGTGCTCCTTTAGTGTGCCTTTCTCCTGATATTATTCGCGCGGGTAATTGCATGATTTTTTATTCGTTTTTAGGTATTTTACATATTTCCTGTTCAACTTGAAAGCTGTTTTTGCCATTTTAGCTGGTTTTTTGGCCCCATTCTTGCCAGACAAATCATTTCATAGGGCACCAAAGGCAGGTGATTCGGGACTGCGGTTCCAACTACGGGTAGGATGAATTGTATCGTATAAGACTGTTCTAGAGAATTTTTCGAGTAAGGGTTTATTTTGGATATATCTCTGGTCATTAACTGGAAGTATGGGTACCGTCTCATTTCTTCGAGTTGTTATATCAGAAAAGTTCTTTTGAGAGTGAAGCAAATCAAGCAAATTGCCTACGAAAAAGTTGAAAGAAATTATAAGAAAACGGTGGAAAATAATGATTTTTGACGGTGAAAAAGGAGAATTAGTAAAGGATTTTTTAGGGAGATTAAAAACATTTTGTGGTAATTGTTCTAAAAAGCTGAATTCAAATTCTAGGTGCTCCTCTTCTATTATTTTTTTCCGTCATTCTGGTTACTTATTATTGCCGATGTAAGCCCTTCTGGGATAATTGAAGCTTTTAAGCTTTTTTTTCACTCATTTTTAATTCTTCTGTGATCTTTAGTCGTAGACGCCAACAATTTTTTTTCTTATGACCGAGAACTTTTTTACTCTGTTTCTTCAGTTTGTTGGAAGTAAGTTCTTTGCATGTTTAGCCGTTGACCCAGATTTTGATTTGGAGCATTTTTACTCGCAGACCTACTAGTACATTCATGATTATTATATCCCTCTTAGAAGCCAAACTTGCGTGATAGTTAAAATTCTTTTATACGATCGCTTTGACGAGTTGCTCTATGCAATCATTCTTTTCTTAGTAAGGCCCTACACATGCTGATTTCCTTGACCGCTTTTTTTTGCAATTTTGCACTCTTGTTCCACTCAATTTCTGCTCTTTACTAATCCAAACCTGTTCTTGTGTTGATTTAGCTTCTGCCGGTACTTTTACTTTTCTCTGCCATATTTGCCCAGTTTAACTGATAGATGCGGAACTACTTACTTTCTTTGAAATATGAAGGAAATTAGGAAAAATGGCGTTAGTTCTACGTTACTTTTTTTTGGTTGCCTTGCCTTTTACCAAGAAAATTTCTACAATTTTCCCACTCGATACGTTTTACAAATTGTGATACGCTATGGATGCGTAACAGGTTTGACTCAATTGGCAGAGCGAGAAGGCTGAGGGATAGCTTGGTATTACAGTTATTTGCTTGTTCGCGGTAACCAGACCTGTAGTTAAACTTAATATTTGTATATCTTTCATTGAGTTTAGTAGAAAGATCGATATTGCCCTGAAAACTTTGAAATTGTTGTGTTAAGGTGGGAGTGGTATTTAACACAGGGTTTCGGATTATTCAACTTGAAGCACTTTTCATTGTATATTCAAACTAGTCAGCACTAAAACGTAACGCCGGGTGCGTCAAAATATAAGAAATTGCTGGATTATGGAGCAGTTTTAGCAGTTATGCTCATTTCTCTATGAGACATATATGCGTGTACCCTCAAAAAACTTTCATTGCTGTCCTCTTGAAGCAGAAATTTTTTTTCTGTATATTCTGTCCTATAATAACTGACTTTCTTCCTACATGGTTGCCATGTCGCTGCTTGCATAAATATTGTTCTATGTTGTTAAAAATGATCTCTGTTCAAAAAAACAACTGGAGACAATCAAAAATGCATTTGCTCATATCTGTTGTTGGAGCAGGGATACAAAGAAGAAGTGAGTTGCAAGACAGGAACTATAGTCCTTTTTTTGCAGCGTAATTTAAAAGCACTTTGTTTGTATTTATTTTCATGAACTCTTCGGTGCCTTGTTCTGTTTACATATTGTAGCTGGCTAACATCATAAAACGATTCGTATCGTAATACACGGGTGAAACCAAATAACGGTTTCTATCTTATGTCTTTGGACCAGCCTTAGTGCTCGGGTCCAGTAAATAGTAGCATTGAAAAGGGGAGAAATGCGTTATTGAGTTTATCTTTTGCTCGCTGGAGAATCAGCTGCTGAGCGGAGGTACAGAGACAGGGTTTAATGAAGTCCTATGAGAAGGTTCACTTTTTATTTACTTGTGTACTGAATCATATGATCCCACTGTGACTGATGTACTACGATAGGATAAAAAAAAAGTTATGCAATGAGAAGTTGGAATTGAATGGAGAGACTGATGCCGTTCATACAAGATGAAAGTTTGGCGGTCACTTGCAAGAGGACTATCTATGAATTTATCTGCGAATTCATGGGTTTCTGTACAAAGGGAAGTTACACTAGTACGGGGTGTTATAGAGTATGCAGCTTCAAGCAGTGTGAATTGGTGGACATGTTTGCAGCATTCACCGAATAGTTGGCATCGAAAAATTTTTGGCTTTTGAACGGTTTCATATGGTTTACAAAGCGAAGTGTCAATGGTCCTAATTCATATCAGATTAGTCCAGCAAAATCATTATAGTCTTTATAGCTGTGGTTTTGATTGTGATAGAGGAGTACTTTTGACAAATCTTCGACGCAAGGTGGTGACGTTGTCGAAAGCTTGACTTGGTTAAATAATTCTTTATTTAGAAAAACCTACCATAACGAATAGGTGACGAGGGTTTTGAGACAAAGAGTATACGAGAGCTTTGAGAATAGCTCACTATCCTAAATTCCTAGTATGAGTGATGAATTGACAAGAATGCCGCTGGTTCAGACGACCACTTATGACCCCTAACCAACAAGGATAAAGAATTATCACAATGGATAAAACGAAACAACTTTAAACGAATAATAGAACCCAAAGAAAATTAAGAAAACTGCAATACACTAATCAAAACTGATATAAAAGAACTAAAAAAGAAAACAAAGTTTAAAAGGAAACTTGATAAAATAATAATGTAATGAGCAGCAAGACGCTAATAGATTGAAGCAATCACTTAATCGTTATTGTTGATCACGAAAATGCAAACAGTAACTTCCTCCTTGCATACCTTGCTCTTATATAGCCTTCGTAATGGCAATGGTCCACCACATAATATCCGACAGCGTCCCCTTAAGGCCATGTCTGACCACATCACTGTCTGCTGCCTCCTTCAAGCCATTTCGCGTGCCGTCGCGACATGGACATACAGTTACTTTAGCACAGAGGTTGTACAAAAATTGTAAGCAAGAGATTGAACAACCTGGGTAGTTTCCGCCTTCTCATCTTGAAGCCAAGATGATTGCTCTGGTAATTTAGAGTTTGCTCGAAAGATTTGAATGTTTTTTTTAATACATTTTGTACGATTTCTTTTACTCTCTAAGATCTTAAATGTTTTATAGAAACAATTACACAAAGATAACCAAGTTACTCGCACCTTAACAGTTTTCTCAAGGACACTTTGAAATATCTGTGTGACCATATCGATGATATAACATAGAGGATGTTTAAAAAGAATTTCAGCGTCCTAAATTTGTTGCACTCATGTAGTTTTTACAGTTCCTGTTGTGGTCAGCTGATTGGAATCTTTTTTTCCCCATCCTAAACAGCAGCTCCTGTTCTGTTTCCTTTTCTCACATGGACAAATGGTGCTGCTGCATTTGTTTCAGCACATTTCACTAACAAAACTTTCCTGCCTCTTGTCCATACGCTGTATGATTTTTGGCTAAAATGCATAAGAGAAACGAAAAAACCAAAGTTTACTTTTATCATATAAATGATTAGTTGTAGAAGTCGTAGTGTGCTCGTGTATGATTGGCTGTTGCATAGTGGTGCTTTTCAAATAGTTACTGACATAATCTCTGTAATACGGGAAAAAGTATTTAGCACACTTGTATAGCTTTAAAAGTCCAGAAATATATATCATTAGCATCACTACAGTGATGAAGAAGGCCTTTTTGTTACTATAATTGGATCGCTTGGCCAATTTTAGTCAGACACTGGTGCTTGAGAAGCTCCTTCGCTTGATAAGAATTTTGAAACACCGCCATAGTTTTCAGGATGGCTTTCTTTTCAGCGTTAATGCAGCTGTGGCAAGGCATGACCTTTACTGTAGCCGAAGATGAAGAATGTGAGGTGCGCGTGCCTTATTTTATGTGTAAAATATATGTGAAAGGTCCTATTGGTGATTGTTTTTAAGGTAGGCTCCTCAAGTGTTTGTAGTAGAACATTTCTTCCTATCTGAAGCAATCTCTTTAGCCTGAGTTCTGCTCGATTATTCATCAGATTAAATTAATACTGCGAGATTACTTTTTTCAAGTATATTGAAGGAGAAATCCTTCTCTTAAAAATAATTCTAGTAAACCTATCCTTGAACCAGCAAGCCTATTTTGTACACTGTAAAATTCTTCTATTTTCAGTACTCAGGTAACAAACTGTAAGAGGGTAGACTTTATGTTTCCCAACTATGCTTATATTTTCCTGGATCTGCTACCACTTACTCTCTGATAAAATTTGATTTATTTAGTTGATAAACAACAACAAACGGATAAAATCAAACATAACCACCGTAAAGTAGTAAAAGATGAATTCAAGGATGAAAACAAATTAAGCGCTAAAGATGGAAATCGATAAAACAGATATCCCAGTTTAAAATTCAAAGTCATTGTACTAACAGCGAGTATAGAACAAAATACTCCTCACGAAGACGAGAAACAAGCTGCAAAAAAAGCTCTATTTACTTCTTATGATGCATCTTTTTGGTTCGAATAAGATCTCCATGTAAACTGATAAGATCCTGAATTTTGACTGTAAATCTATATCTGTGGTGGTGGTTGAATGAAATCTCCTTAACTTTTTAATTTTAATTTAGTACCCCCTTATAGACTTCCGATTTTAGTATCTTTAAAACTGGCATCCCGATCAAAGAGTTGTCGGCACTCTTGCACTTTTGCGGCCCCAGTGCGCTGATTGGTTGATTGCGTTTTGGTGGGAAAGCTGAAGAAGGGGACAGTGAAGGGGACATCAGCAAAGGTGAAGGAAGCAGCAGCAAGGTGGATGGGGAGAACAACAAAGAGGAAAGGGGCAGCAACAGGGGGCGGCGGTGCAGCAGGGCTGAGCAAAGCAAAGCTTTGAGAGGACTTCGAGAGGTGGATAGCCTCCCTTCAACTGCTACTCCTGGTACGCTTGTTACAGTGTCATTAGAAAATAAAACTAGTACCCCAGCTTCACCACAGAATTAGAGAATGAGACCGTGGGATAGCTTGGTTGGGTCAGTAATAAGGAAACCAAGCTAGAGATCACAGAGGGCTGTAGGATTGTTCCTATGAACACAATTTTTTTAGATGAATATCGACACAGGGAAACCTAGTGCGGAACAACTCTGACTTGAAAAAGAAACAACCCTTAAGTTTCCAGTATTAACATGTAACCAAGTAGCAGGAGCATCCTATCCAATTGCCTTCCGCGGAACTCTTAACGTCGTTATATAGCTTCTTAGGTGCAAACTGGCCAATTATTTGCTCTTCAGAAGCTTTTCCCTAGGGACAAACAGTGTCGATGGTAGTGTAGAGCTCCTTCCGCGTACCGTCGCGAGAAGGATGCAGACTGCCTCTCTGACCGGATAGAAATCAGATATAAAAGGGATACTCTTTTCACTGTAACTCAGTGTATTTGTTTACTTGTCACCATTGATATCGACGTTGCCATCCGGTGCTTCAAGCTACGAATCCTTATTAAGCAATTTCTGTTGCCTCTAGCGATCGCTTCCAAGCCTGAGAGGCAGAAGGAGGACGATCTGAAGCGATCTCCGCAAGCCGGGGAGCAAGAAACCTGGACTACCGGGTACAGTTTAGCTGTGGGGAAGCGGCCCTTGTCTAGGGAATGATATCGTGGAGCAGGTCGATGCTGGCGGGGAATGACCTAAGAGACTATCAACCCCGCCCAATTTAAAGGCGACTACTGAACCGGACCAAGCTCGGTTGGGAAAAAAGCTCAAGTTCGGAGCGATTAACTCTACTGAAGATCTTGGTGTTTTATTTTGTATTTTATGTTTTATGATTTTGCAAATAATTTCTAATTTTGTATGCTTCGTTATATGATGTTGTACCAAGGTTTAATTACCCAAGTTTGAGGTTTTGTACTAATTTATTCGCGTTCTTGAAATAAACTTATTGGAAAAGCAATTCCCGCGTGGCAGCACATTACGGCAAGACGACGAGAAGTCAAAGAAGGGAATTATAGAACAGAATTTATTTATAGTAGCTTCCAAGATTGTCGAAAGCAACTTTCATTATGCTTTAAAAAAAAAACTAAAGGTTCAAAAAAAAGCTAAAAAAAGTACAGTTCTCAAGCAACCTGTGTACACAAGATTATGACTTTTGTAAAAAATTAATTTGGAAGGGATTTACTGTGGTTGAACCTTCTACATTTATCTTACTCATTCCTGTATGAAAACAGCTGCAACTAAATAAACATTATATCGTCCAAGACGCGACCTGAATTTATGTGTGATAGTTCTGTAAATTTTTAGATTTGAGATTAACGGCTGCAGAATATGCTTCCCTTAATGTCTCAAGAAAAGAACGTGACAAAGAACCTTCTTCTTGTCCAAAAATCATACTTTATCCTTCTGATAGGTCATATAATTTTTTTCCGCTTTCCTTATAATTTTTTACTTTTTCTTAATTTTTTTTTGAAAAATTAGTCGGAACAAACAACGTTTTCTACAATAAATACTGGTAACTTTTCGAAGAATAATATTAAGTTCTCACTATGGAATTAATTTATTAATTCGGGTGCAGTTCAACATCACTTGCACTTTTGGCTCACCGTAATCAAGAAGCATGAAAGCAGTTGATCACTAAAAAATCACAATTTAATGTGCAGCGGAGCTTAAGTTGTGAACAAACTGGCTTTCTTGCTTCGAATATCCCACATCCACTACATGAACCTGAGTTAAAATCCAAGTCGATATAATATACCTTACAAAAATAGTTTTTGCAGCGATCTACAGTAATCTGTAATATTCTCTCATCACAAGGGCTTTATTGTTTTCAATGTATCTGCTTCTTGCGTCTTCAATGACAAAACCTTTCGTAAAGATCAACAAACAATTGGTCTTTGAGTAAAAATTACATTGTAATTTACTCGCTTTTTTAACAGCTGGAAAAGCTTGTGTAATTAAAATTGCAAGTTCTTTACATCGCTGGGCTTCTTCGTTATTTTTAGTTATAAATTTGTAGGAAATTAAGATTTATGTCGATTTCTGAAGCTTTTCATTATGTTAAAAAATTCCAAACTGGTTGTTAGACTTTCCGAAAAGGACGTTTAGGGTGGAGAGGAGGAGTTTAAATTTGCTTTTAGCCATTCATTTACCGCATGCGTTTTCGCATTCTGTGAAAAAGGTAAGATAAGGAATAAAACGCAGTAAAAATAATAATATTTGTAATGTTTGTCTTGAAAAATTAAGGTGGGTTTAGCTTTTTTTATTATAGAACCACAAGTTAGTCAAGTGCTTTATAAGCACGTGATTACCGATTTGCTACTGAAATTCCTGTCCCAGTAACTTGTCCAGTTAAGCATTACCAAATATTCGTTGTTTATTAGCCTTTACGTTACTTTTTTTGTGTGTACCTAATTAAGTGCATTAGTAGAAATGAGGATATAACCTATTTAATTTTTCAGTCATCTGCTTATGCGAATTTTTGAAATTAAAATGCTTTTTTGAAAAGTTTTAATATAATTTTTTCCTCTTGCTTTTCAAGAGCTTTTTCCGTGTCTTGCTGTTAACCTTAATAGTATGATTATCTGTCCATATTCTAAAATTAGAGTTTAAGAATCTTTATTTGAACAGCTGCACCTTTGTCTAAAGTTATCTTACAGATTTCGTAGGTGGCTCAGAGATCTAGAGGATCAAAGAGAAACGGCATATTTTGAAATATATATTTATTTATGGCTTTTCTGAAGTCTGCAAACAAGTTAAAGTGCATGTAAATAAACGGTTGTAAACGGAAGAGGCTAGAAAGTGGAAGGAGTAATCGCCATTATTAATAAATGCCATTGTCAATATCGAATCTAAGTTTTAAATCCAATTCTGCTATTTACCAGTTCAATATTGATAGCTTTATTTACAACATGTTTAGTGGCGAGCTTTCCATAGGTTTCTCCTGTCGTTTCAAGAACCCTCCAGAAGAACGGTAGTAGCAAGGCATCTACGCTTGGAATACCAGCAGTCCTTAATTAATCAAAGACTCTGTTCGGTCGATGGTTTGAAAGCGATCGTTATGCATCACTGAAATCTGGCGCTACTTCGAAGAATCTATTTCCTTTCCAAGCGTTTCTGCAGCAATTCCACAATTACGTTGTCGAGCTCGTATCGCTTTTTGCCATCGCTAAATTTTTAATCTTGATCTTTGTGTTGGCTTTTGTAAATATATGTTTTTCTCATCAATAGTCTTTTTATGCATTTTGGGAGAAATAATGAAAGTGTGACTGCGGGAGACGAACTGTGCTCTTAAATTAACTGTAATAGTAACCTTTCTTAAGGAACCTTTAGCAGCACAAAAATAGTAGAATGCGAAGGTTGGAACGCAACATATCGACGTCAGGCGCAAAATCCACCCGATTAGGACTGACCATTGCGGATACACATAGTCGCGATCAGTTAGCGGTTGTAGCGATGTCTGAATCACCGTAATGAAAAAAATGCCCTGAAACTGGTGGATTTTTAGCGGACTGTTTCAGTATTTGATGTGGTAAATCCTTTACGCTTACCCCAATGAAAACAGGACAAAACATCCAACATATTCTCCAGTATATGCCGGGATATGACCCAATCATTTCTCGAACGTCTTCACTAAATCGTGATATGCCATAAAACCAGCAGACTGCTATCATTTCGCAAACGACGATGAAAAGGACAGATAGCGAGACACCATATTCATCAAGGAACTGCATTACCAATTTTCCGCCCTGAAAGAAGTACTTATACAATTTGTTCAAATTTACCGCCGAACTGGCCCAAGGAAGATAGCATTTTAGACGTAGAGGTTTCGCAGAGACTTTTTTTAGTTAAAAGAAGATTATTTTGGTAAATTTCAAACAGATTGGGGAAAGAGGTTTCTTAATAGTCAAAGAAAACGCTTTAAGTTATTTGCAAGTTACTGGCAAAAAATTTACATGAAAATAGTAGTAACAATAACAATGATAATAATAGTAACAATAGTGAAAATAATAACAAATAATAATAATAAATATAGTAATAATTATAATGATGATAATACAATAAAAGATCTCAAGCTGCTTTAATATTTTCTTCTGGTTTTGTCATCTTTAGCTAAGAAGACGCTTACACTATAAAGAGGAACTTAGATTCTATCCATTTTTGGAACGTAAACAGGTTATTTGTCTTACATAAGTTACTGTCGGAAGACTCCCAAAATAATAACAAGAAACAACCACACCGACAAAAATTTCTCGATGCCTTCCTAGCAGCTGAGGATATTCGTCGCTGAATCCGGTGATCAGTGCTTCAATACCACTAAACTAAAATTTCAAGGGATACTGGAATGACGACAGTACAAAAAAAAGTGAATGTAAATTATATGACGGATTAAATTTTTTGCTAATTGTGCACTGTACTTACTGTGCTATCAATGCCCAGCGTAATGAGCATCAAAAAGAAGATGAAAGACCAGAAACTTGAATACGACATCGTTGCTAAAGCTTGCGGATAAACAATAAAAATCAAAGTGTAGTCGTCGTGAGAAACAACCTCGCTAACAGGGCGATTTGTAAGTTCTGACATATATCCAAGCGTCGAAAAAATGACAAAGCCAGAAAAGAACGATGTAGCACAATTAATAAACGACGTCACAACTGCATCACTAAAACTGGGTTATGCATAATATAGAAAACATAAAATTATAACCGCACAAAAGTAAGCAGAAGCACATTAAAAACGCAAAAATTTCAAAGTAAGCAAATGTAAAAATTCTAAAGGAAACGTGCAAAGCACTCAGCGTTATAATATTATTCACAACGCTTGTCTCAAAACCTGGAGTAATTTGACTGAGAATGTGGAAGAATTATGACTTTAGAAACATCATCACTTTACTCAAACAGCAGGTTTTCAAAACCATAAAAAGATAAGTCACAATTTCTTGAAAAACGTGAATGTTTTAATGCACTTAAACCGTGTAAAAACGTTTACAAGATTTAAATTTTATGCTTGTTTTCGTCAACATCTCTCCAGTGCTCTAATGACCTTGATTCTAGTAAATTAAAAAATACTATTCTGATACACACAAGGAAGAACTCAGGCTTTACTAAATCGAACTTGGTGGCAAAGCTCAAGGCAAACGATACTATACTTACAGGCATCTGACAAACCAAACTCAGTCAAGAGACGATATGAGCAAAATTTAACTTTATTCTTTCTGGACAAAAAAAAGAGACAACTAGCAATTTAAAAAACAACTTCTGAAAAGACAAAAGGTGATCACTTTTGGAAGTGAGCTGTTGTTATTTTTTTTTACAGGAGGAATTTTTGGACAAATCTGAAAGAAGTATCTACTTTTTAATAATATCTCATCTGACATATGTATTGCTTTCAATATTTTCTTTCTAAAACAGTTTAGTCAAAAATAGTTTTTAATTAAAATCCTTGTTGACTAAAAGAATTAACTCGAGTTAAAATAAAAAAGTTAGGAGAGAATTAGCATTCTTTATACCTAATTTATAGCCCATTTATTGCAAAAGTCGGCCATAATTATTTCTGCTTCAAAGCCTACTTGCTTAAGTGTTGCAACGAAAGAACGATGGCAAAGAGGTGGGAATGCTCTAAAGCTTGTCAACTTCATAACCAAAAAAAAAATGTAATTTTTTTGCGTGAGAGTAGGCGACCATGAACAGCAATAGATTTCTAAAAGTTCGTCTTTTTTGTAGTTTTTTGTCACGGAATGAACACAAGTTCTCACCTCGAGGATTATTGCTCATTTACCTTTACTATTTATAAAGAAAAAAATCCAAATATTTTTCAAGAGTGTTCTTCATAAAATAAAGCTTACTGGTGCAAAATATTGAATAATTAATGTACAACAAAATAAGTAACTCTCAAGGTTGTAAAAAACGAATCGCAAAAATTTTTAATTTTCTTTCAGTCTTGCTATTTTTCTAAAAAATTTAAAAATACTCAGTCGATGTGTGAAAAGTTTCCAGCTTCGTTTTAGTCACGCGGACACAAGAGCCGCAAAATACAGATAGTCAGACTCTTTTTTTCTCAGTGCCGCGCTAGTCATCTAGCTTTCAAACTGATTTTTCTACTCCTTCATCAAAAAACTATGACGAGAAAATTATTCCTAACATCTAAATGAAACTTCTTTTCAGTTAATATCTTCCAGCATATTAACAAGTGTTCTTGAGAAAAAAATCATTTTAGACAGCAAACTGAGTTTGTAATACCATCGGTTCAACGTTTCTTATAAAAACGTTTTCTTTAGAGAAAAATTTGATACGATCCTGAGTTAAAAAACACAGCAAGACTTCTGAAATAACTGTTTAAATGTTATAAACTGCAAAACGAAAGAGAACTAAGCTAAAATAATGTTTAATTCAAAACAAGCTTGCTGGTTATGAGTAAAGTTCAAAGTTATTACCGATAACAGTTGTTATTAAAGTCGTTATAACTGCTTAATGCCAACAAAACGCCAAATCCAGGGCCGAGTGAAAAAAATATTTGGGTTGCAGCAGCGGTCCACACTGCTGGCTCTTTAAGTTTACTGAAATCTGGAGTCAAATAATAGGATATACCATTGACTGCTCCTGGAAGAGTAATCCCTCTGATCAGTAGTATTGTTAGTATAACGTAAGGAGCTGTAGCAGTCACCCAAACGACCTGGAAATGTTAACATCAAGCAACTGTTGACATCAAGCAGCGAAATTTTGACGTGGTGATTAGACGATAATATCTAAGAGTATAGCGTAATAAGAGTTAAGTACGCAAAAAAAATTAAATATATATGGGTCATTCCACGCCAAATCGCACAAGTTTGAACCTGGACCTCTCAGATTTTTTTCATTTTTTCCCAACTTGTAGCACCCGATACCGGATTTCAAAATCG